CATCCAAAAGATGCGGTCAGCTCCGTGGTGGACACCGAAGTCTCGCTGGTTTGGAGGTTGAAGAACAACCTCTGAAGCGTCCAAGCGCTATTGTCGCGCGAGGCTTCCGCCTCGGTTGGGATCTGGTAAACGGCCTTCCAAGCGGTCAGTCCGAAGCGGTGGCAACAACAAGCGGCGAGGACAGCGTACCTTGCGGAAACGGTTGGTGAAATAAAGAGACTGCAGAAGCGAATTGAGGTAGCATGTAGCACCTTGGTTCTTCAGACCCACCAGGCCAGTCTCCTTCTTCGAGTCGTAACTAGACACGGGGTTAGCGATGCGACTTCAGCGACTCGCCTTCGAACTGCATACTTCTGGAAGTTGTGCCATAAGACACCCGTCGGGTCCTTAACCACGCGCACGTAGGCTGTAATCTTGGCTTCGTCGTTCTGCACGAGGGGCACGCCACGGCCTTCCCACGGTCGGCTGAACAGCCGGTGCAGTTCGCAGAATCTGGTGAAGCCCCAATCTCCCTCCTCCGCATGGAACCGATGGGTCGCGACTATATCCCAATTAGTCCGAGAGAGCGAGCTCGTTGAGGAGGCAGAAGCGGCGTACCGTGATGAACGTAGATGGAGGGATCGTTCACATTGGACAGGACGAGTGCAAACTGCACACAGGCGTACCAGTTGGCCGGCGGTTCGCCGTCCCAAGCATGCTCCAGGTAAAAGGAGGCATGCTCCACATGGTTTCCGTAGGGGAAGAACAGGATTCGCCTGCGGAGAACAGCAAGTCAGAGTCGCTCTCAAGGGCGGTGATATTCCAACCAAGGGATCCGTCGGGGCACCCACCAAGGGAAGCCCGCGCACTGGAAGACCGGGCCGTGCTCCTTCTTCTTCAACTTCCGCCAATCCTGGATATGCCATGTGTGATAGGTCTCATCTTCGGTTTCCAGATCCGGATCTTTCGGGAAAATCCGAGCCATCATTGCTGCATCTGGTTGCGGAGAAAGGATCAGTTTCTCGGACGTGGAGGGGAGGGCTGCAGTTGTGCGGCGGCGAGCCGTCCCACGGCGGGGACTTTTGGGAAGTCGGGCCAAGTCCATCGCAAGACGGCAGGATGCGCACAACAACGATGGGGAGGTGTTATATGGGCCTTACGGTCATCTGCGGAGGGCTCCGACTCCGGTTCATCCGATCCGGAGCGGGAGACGACGACATCGTCGGTTCGATCCTGGTGATACTGCTCATATTCGTCGACGAGCATATCACTGTCGGCGGCCTGGAGACGTCGGGGAAAGGTTACAGGATCAGTACCAGTGATTTTTGCGAGGGGAGGGATGGGATGGAAAGGTGGCTAAGATCTCCGCGAAAAGTGGTTGGGAGGCGAGGGTGATTTGAGACCAGAACTTACGTTGTCCATGTGAGGTAAAAAGTGCGATCCACGCACTGAGATAGCGGGTCACTCTTTCTCGCGGACGATTACAAGGGAAGGAGATAACCCGTTGGGGTAAGAGCAGGGAGAATGGGGGGGAAGTGAGCAGTGAATAAAGGGAACTGAAGAGATGGGGGGGAGGTCGGAAAATCGGGCGAGCCAGTCCACAACTGGGGGTGAAGAATGAATGAATAAAGATTGACCAGGAAGTGAGAGGAGGCAGAGGAAGAAGCAGAAACAGAAGCTGATCCGTCTGGGCTGGAGCCGACTTGGAGGCAGTCCACAGGCAGTGGGATTTGAAGCTAGTGGCGGAGTTGCCAAAACCCAATAATAACGGCCATGCGGGACACTGCACCAGCTCTTTAATATTATTAAGATGATCTTCTCTTTTTTGTGTCTTTCGACTGGGTTCGCAGATGAATCCAGTGAGTGTGGGAGAGTGTGTGGTTCGATGGACACCGGACACCTTACTCCGTAGTCAGTTACTGTAGTTAGCAGCAATTACAAAGATCTTTTACGGTCGCAGGCGCCAATTTCCTTGCTTGCTACTTGATCAGTGTTTGTTCTCTTCGTTCCATCCTAGTGTATGTTTCACTGGACTTTTTGGTGCTAGAGATGCATAATGACGGTGTCTCAGCAGCCGGGGTTAAGTTACTGGGTTTACTTAATCTTTCATAGTAGGCGGCAAGGCAACAGTAGGTACTAGGTAGCATTGATGGGGCAATCCTCAACCGGTCTCTTCATCTTATCTTCTACTCACTTTCTTTTTTTTTTCTTGCTGCTGTCATTGCTTTCCGTAGACCTACCAAGGAGAATCACTCATAGTTCGAGGAGACATCGTGGTCAGGGTTATGGGAGAATCGGCTACGGAGTACGGAGTAGACGAGCCACATACCGAACCGTGATATCACCGCCTTTTCTGCAATGCTGAGTAGTTCAGATCCGAGGCAGGCTGCAAGGTCGATGTATGGATGAGGCTGAGAGAGAGGATGGAGATGAATGGTCTGGATTCGAGAAACAAGGCATTGTACCTGTCCTTATAAACTCTCCCTCTTTCCCTTTGCATATTAGGTTCTAGGTATTTATCATGCTCTATCCTCAAGTACGGAGTAGTTACTGTACAGTGCTATCTATCCCTTCCGCCGACCTGTCGCCTGATTCCTCAGGCAACTTCAGGCAACTAACCACTGCGGGCAGATATGACGATAGAAAGGCTCGCCTCTCGTGGGGGTTTCTTCAGCAATCACGCCCCCATTAGCGTCATGCTCGACCGGATTTCCATCCATTGATCTGTGAGTCAATCCATCGGGAAACAGTCTATTGCCGAACAAGGCACGTCACATGCCAGTCACCGCGGCCTGCGAGCTTCCTCTCTTCTTTTTTTTTTTTTTGGCTGCTCTCACCGCCCGGTCGAGGAAACCGGCCGCATTTGCCATCCTTCAAGGAAACAATACACTATATAAATAAATGAGCTGATCATCATACCATGGTGAATTGGGCCATTCGTTGTGGGCCCTTCGATCCTCGCCTCTGATAACCCGCCATGTATGAGAGAGAGGGTTTGTCCGCTGCTGAATACCCGTGGATCGTCTGACTCCAGCAGACCACCGCTCCTGTTGTGTTGTATCACCGCGAGTACTGAGTAACTCAATGCCACCCCCTCAATTGACCGACCCTTCTCCGTCCTCAGCAGCCGCAATATGGCCCCGAGCCATCCAGCCCGATGCTGGCGTGCCCTCCGCCGGAGCTGTTCGTCAGCTCCGCGGGTCTACTCTACTAGCTACCAAGCCTACAGTCCCCCACCCTGGCGACCTGTCACAGCATTGGACGAGTATGTCATCTTCCCTTCGATCGCATCGCATCCACCTCGGGGCTAATCTCATTCTCTTGCAGATGGGTTGAGCGCGACATCCGTCCCATCAGTCTACGACAGTTGACTTTCTTCGGGCGAACATTGACCGAATCCCGCCTCATCAGCTCGGCCAACTACGTGCGAACGGAGCTGCCCACTCGGTTAGTACTATACCTCTTAGAACTTAAGCTTTCTATTCGCGGGGTGGATATCCGACTAACTCTCGCCTCGTACACCCAGACTTGCACATCGTCTCCGCGACATCCAACGACTACCATATGTGGTGGTTGCGAACCCGCATCTTTCGCTGGTGTACGAGCTCTACTACAAAGCCTTTGAACGATTTCGGGCCATCCCGGAAATCAAGACCCTCGATGACAACGACCACTTCTGCGAGATCCTCCGCAAAACCCTGCAGGAGCATCTGGTGGTGATCCCGAAACTGGCCATGGGCGTTTTGGAGTGCCGCGAGCTGGTGACGTCGGAAGTCCTGGATCATTTCATGAACACCCTGTTGAGAGCGGTAGGCGCCCCCAGCGTTGACTAGACGGACCAAGCTGATGGTTTCGTCCTAGAGAATCTCTCGTCGAGTCATTGCGGAGCAGCATCTTGCATTGACCGAAACCTTCAATTCACCGTGGCACTTCCCCGGCTCGCAGGACCGCTCGGACCTCAACGCCGACTACGTGGGCGAGGTGTTCCTCAAGTGCAATGCCAAGGAGGTGGTGGAGCGCTGCGGGAAGCTGGCGCAGGATATGATGCGGCAGACGTCGGGATCGGACAAGATCCCCGAGATCACGGTGCAGGGGCATCTGGAAGCCACCTTCCCGTACATGCTCAGCCATCTGGAGTATATCATTGGCGAGCTGCTGCGCAACTCCATCCAGGCCGTGAGTGAAAAGTACCACGGTCGGGCGGAGAAATCGCCGCCGATCGAGGTGCTCATCTGCGAGGCGCCGCAGCATGTGATCATGCGCGTCTCCGACCAAGGGGGCGGCATCCCGCGGGAGGTGCTGCCGTACCTGTGGTCGTTCAACAAGGGACCGCACAGCAAGTCGCATCTCCGCAATCTGGGCAAGGTTCCGGCGATGGCGGCCACCCTGCAGGAACTCAGCGTGCCGACGGAGAGGAAGCACGCGGACAAGGAGACGTTCCGGGAGAGCTCGCTGGACTCGCTGACCTCGCGGCGGCCGGATCTGCGGCTGGGGATCGGACTGCCGATGAGCCGGGTGTACGCGGAGTACTGGGCGGGGAGCCTGGAGCTGCACAGCCTGGAGGGGTATGGGGTGGATGCATTCCTGCAGATCTCGAAGCTGGGCAATCAAAACGAGCAGGTGACGACGCGAGCATCGATTGATGCGGTATAGGGGATACAGTATGAAGTGTTGTTTAATCTGAGTTGCAGGTGGAGCCGTCATACAAGTATGAGATATGATACATAGTACATAGGTACAGTATATTACTGCATGTTAACATGAGAACTAAGTTAGCCATTGGCACAATCAAACAATCAATCAACCCATGTACAACAACACATCACTGATCGAGTACTCGAGAAAAGCATCAGCCACAATGGCCCCACCTATACTTAATCCACGCGCGACGTACCCCGGGAAATCCATCCACTAACAACCGTCAAATCACACGTGAAAAGTAAAGTAAAGTCAAGTGAATCAATCCCAGCCAAGCCCTCCAGCAGGCCAACCTCACATCGATTCCGTGCCCATGACGTCAAACCAGGGATGTTGTCCCCTTGCCGGTAGTGCCATCACATACCAATCCACCCTGTCAGTGACCTCCATCTATACTTTCCCCTATAAACAGTACCTAGGATTGTACTACGAGTATCCCGTCCCAGTGACGTCGACAGCCATCTAGTTCTTGCCTTACGACAGGGCCAGCCAGCTAGCCCCAAAAAACAAAAAAAACCAAAAACCACAAAGACAAAAAAAGAAATGAAGCGCCTCAACTCCGCCCAAGACGACAACATCCCCGTCTATATATTCCTGCTCCTGTTCCTGATCCTGGGGTTGAGTTTTCTGGGAACGTATCTCGAGACGGTCAGCAGCACCAGCAGCACCAGCAGCACCACCAACACCAACACCAAACGAGTGAAATCAACCGTGCGCTTTCGTGCTTAACTACAGTACACTCACCACACAACAACACAAACCCATCCATCAACAACAATCCAGCCAAAATGGCCGGAACATGCTCCATGCTCTGCCTCATCCTCATCACCATCTTCAGTACGCATCACCCACCCAGCCCAATCCAAACCCCAACCCAAGCAACAACTAACATACTACAAAAGTCCCCCCCCTCGGCGTCTTCCTGATCTCCGGCTGCAGCGCCGATTTCTTCATCAACCTGTTGCTGACGCTTCTGGGGTGAGTTGCCCCCCCCCTCCCCTTTCAACCCAAATCTCAAACTAAATCTCAATCTCAATCTCACCAGCTACCTACCCGGCCACATCCACGCCTTCTACCTGGAGTACGTCTACTACCGGAATTCCGATGCGGTGGCGCCGCGCCGCGCGCCGGGGGTGTATTCGGAGCGGATTCAGCGGGGGGCGCATCACCACCACCACCACCGTCAGCAGCAGCAGCAGCAGCAGCAGCAGCAGGCGGGGTATGGGACGATTTAAGCTGGGGCCGGGGTTGCGGAGCGGTGGGTGGTAGTTGGACTAGGGGAGTCTGGTCTGGTGGATGGTGATAGGGATCATGCATGAAGTTTTGTTCTTAGGCGAATCGCTAGCGACGATTTGAGGAAATTGGGTGGGGGGGATATGATCCATGCTATCCTTATCCTTATACTTGCACTGTTACCTTACTGTTACCTTACTGTTACCTTACTGTTACCTTACTGTTACCTTACTGTTACCTTACTGTTACCGACGAAGCCAGAATACGACATAACCTAATGAATCCTTTTATTGAATCCGAGAACCAACAAAACAAACCCAACCCTAAACAGCAGTCTTCTTCCCCTGCCCCTGCCCCTGCTGCGCAGCAGCAGCACCACCACCAGCCCTCCTCAAAGCAGGCAACCCAAACACCTCACTAACCCCGACCCCGCCCTGGGTGCGCGGCACGCTCCCGGACCCCGGACTCCACCACAGCGCCCCGACCCAAGGCTGCACATTCCACCCCACGGCCAGCGTGACATTCTGGCGCTCGGCCATCCTGCCCGACACATCCCCGATCTGGTACTTGGCCTTCTGGTCGCGCAGCCTCAGGATGCCTGGTTGGGCTTGCGCTTGGGCCTTCGCCTTCGTGGCAGGGGGCTTCCTGCTCCCGGCCTTGCTTTTACTCCTGGTCTTGGTCTTGGGACTGGGAGCAAAGAACCGCTCCTTCAGCGCGTCGAACGAGTAGGCCGATTGCGGGGCGGAGATGATGGTGTCCCAGACGACGGCGTGGGAGGTGGCGGCGGAGGAGGTATTGGTCGGGTCGGAGGGGTAGGAGGCGTAGACGTAGACGAAGAGTTGTTTGGTGTTCCAGTTGAAGAGGGGGGTTAGATCTTTTTCTCGGGGTTAGTGTTGTGTTTGTTGTGTGTGTTGTGTGTGTGCGCATCGAGGAGCTAGCCTTCTTTCCTCTAGCTGATCCCAAAGCGTCTGGCCACAATTGTGGACTAAGGAAGGGGTGGGGGGTAACGCAACGCACCAGCATCCAGATCAAAGCGCAGCTGCGCGTACTCTTCCTTCCGGGTGGAGTAGTAATGCGGACGGCCTTTGGTTCTGTGGGCAAGTTGGTTAGCTTCGCTGTTGGTTGTTGGGGGTGAAGCTTTCCGCGGAGGTAAATGAAATGGAGGTGTGCTAGCTAGCTAGCTAGCTAGCTAGATATATCCCCGGTCTGGATAGGGTCCGACATACACCTTGACATCCCGCAGCTTGACCTGCGACGTGACCCCGTCCGTCGGAAACAGCAGCACGGAGAGCGCGGCCAGCCCGGCGACGAAGAGCGCGACGGTGGTGAAGAAGCCGAAGACGGCTTGGGCGCGGTTGAGGGTCGAGTGCATTGTTCTCCGGCGAGCATTAATGATGTAAAAAGAGGACAGTTCCCTATAAGGGAGGAAGACAACAATCCGAGTGGGATTGCTGGTTGCTGGTTGCCGGTTGCCGGTTGCCGAAAAGCGATAGTGATGATGATAATGACAACAACAAGAAAGCCACCTGGGCCTTTTCTCCACGGGAGCGGAGCTCGGAGATTGTGGCTGGTGAGCAGGGGATCGCGGCTGAATGGGGTTAGTGGGGAGGATAGACTCGTGGCTTATCGATAAGGTTGTTTTGTATGAGGATATCCACGGGCCGGGTATCTGGAGCACTACCTCAGCTAGTAACTCACCCCTCCTTCCGTTCCATCTGCACGTCCATTGACATCTACACAGGATAGAATATCTTCAAGTATTGTACTTACACACTCTCCCTCAGATCACCACTCAAACTCAATCCAGATCCAAGAATTATCCCCGAACACAAAACATACACTACACCTTATCAGCTATATACACCACACAACATAAACAAGCAGCCCTCCACCACCACCATTACCAACAGTACCTACCTAGTACAACCCAAAATGGGCGACAACACCCTCTTCTTCTACGGTACGTCCACCTCTCATCCCAGCACCCTAACTAACCCCCATAATCCCCATACCATGACAAGACTAATCAACCCCAAGGAACCCTAATGTCCCCCCAAATCCTGCACCGAGTAATCCACGGCCGCGCCACACCGGAACCCTGGCAACGAGCGTACCTCACCATCCAGCCGGCGGTCCTCCCCAACTACCGGCGGCACCGGGTGCGGCACGCCGATTATCCGGGGATTGTGGCCGTGGCTGGGGGCTCTGGCTCTGGCTCTGGCTCCGGGGGAGTTTCATCATGCGGGGGCATGGGGGTAGGGGAGGGGGAGGAAGGCGTGGCAGCAGCAGCAGCACTTCCCAGGGACGCGGGTAAAGCTGGAACTGACGCAGATGCAAGCTCCGCCTCGGTGCTGGGGACGTTGGTGACCGGGCTGACGGAGGGGGATGTTTATCGGTTGGATTTGTTTGAGGGGGATGAATATACCAAGGTCAAGGTCAAGGTCAAGGTTAGGGTTAAGGGGGAGGGGCACGAGGCTAATGGGGTTGGGGATGAGGAGGAGGATGTACGGGTGGGGGTGGAGGGATTGGAGGGCACTGCCACTGCACCTGACGGGGCAGAAGCAGAAGTAGAAGCAGAAGCAGAAGTCGAGGCGCTGACGTATGTCTGGACGGCCGGGAGGGAGCGGTTGGAGGATGCCGAGTGGGATTTCGAGGCCTTCAAGAGGGATAAGATGGCTTGGTGGGTCGAGGCGGATGAGCGGGATTGGTGACACTCAAGATATTACGAGTAGACCTTATAGAGAAGTCGATCTATCTGTGTCTTCTGTTCGAACCATAATCATAAGTCATGTACATTGAAACAAACCCCCACCCCCACATCGCACACAAATGCAAGCAAGCTTGGTATCTGGTATCTATGCTACTGCTAAATGTATCCCACAATGTCCCGAACGCCAGAGAGATCGAAATGCAATATCAAAACAACAAAAGGGAAAATCCAGATATATGCTTCTCAGCAACATGCAGTCATCATTTCTTAGACGGACTGTCTCTGACAAGCAGGCCTAAGTTCCGATGCTATCAGCAACCAGTCTTCATCATTCTTAGACGGACTGTCTTTGACAAGCAGGCCTAAGTTCCGATGCCATCAGCAACACGCAGTCATCATTTCTTAGACGGACTGTCTTTGACAAGCAACGACTTCGAAAGTGTCCCGGGAACCTGGGTCTCAACCACCGTGTCTGGCACAGCCCCACCGTCTTTGTTACCCATCATACTATCCGACTCCGTGGCCGCGGCAGACAGATGGAGCGGTGTATACCTCTTGCTGACCTCCGATATCACCTTGGACGGCGATGGAACCGGGGTTACTGGCCGCGTGGTCTCCGACTTCGCCTTCAAGGATGCAGCCGGCTCCTGACTGTCCGGAACTTCGATAACTTCCTGCCGAGTCGGGTGCGGACCAGACGGGCCCGTCTCGTCCTTCGTAGATGTCACTAGACGAACTTCGTCTGCCGCCTCCCGTTCTTCGTGATCCTTCACGCCCGCCGTCTCATCCTTCTGTTCGCTGACTTGAACATCATCCTTCGAGACCGCAGCTTTCGTCGGTGACTCTGGATCTGGTCGTTGCTCAGGCGCCCGAGACGGGGACTGCATAGTCTGGTTCCCGGTCGCTTTCACCAGCGACTCCGTCTCCACCCCACGCTGCGCTTCCGGCGATGCCCAAGGAGACCCTAACAGATAACAGATCGGCTTGCGATCCGCCATGGTCTCCTTGGCACTACTTTCCTGTTTGCTCATCTGCTCCTGTTCATCATACAGCGCGTCGAGAAACTTGCGCAGTCTTTTGCGGAGATGTCCCGACTTGAGCGGTGGCCAGTCGCCGTCCTCCTTCTGGAGTATCTTCCGGATGAACGTGTCCGGGTCCTGCACGAATTTCTCCAAGTACGCCAGGAGATACAACCCGCAGTCGGAGTAGTTGGGCTGCAGCGGGATCTTCTGAGCCGTGATGCCTCGAATGAGCTTCGTGTTGATCTCGACGCCTTTCTTGGATTTCGCCTCCTCGTACAGGTAATCGCGCAGGATCCGGGAGGTAGGACTGCGAGTCACGCCTAACGAGTCGAAGGTGATGATGGTGGGTTGGGTGACGTCGACTTTGCTCGTCCGCTTCGTCGCCTGTTTTCGCGATGCCTTGGCAGCCTCCGCGGCCTTGACGGCGTCTTGCGAACAAGCTGTCTGCGACGACGGCTGCTCCGTCTGAGTTTTGGGGAAGGCCTGCACAGGAATAGACGAAAGCTCCTCGCGATCGGGCCACTCCTCCACCGGCGTCCCCTCCTTGGAAGCGTTCTTGGGGGGTTCGTCGGCCAAGGTCATCGAAGCCAGCGAATGGCGAGTCTGTTCTTCCTTCGCAGGCTCGGCATCGGGAGTTATCGACGCCCCTTCTGCAGTGCGAGGAACCTCGGGCGGAGGAGTTTCCGGTATCTCCTGGACCTGACTGCCTAACTGAGACGAGGACTGTACCTGGCTGGACAGTGGCTCATCGTAGACCTGCGGATCGGCAAGGTCCTGCAGATTCGGTAAATTGCATATGATGGCAACATACCAATGGGCATGTTGGTTGATGGGCACGACGACGAAATCGTGGTTGAAGATGTCAACGTTCCTGGTCCATTTCTGCACGCCGTCGTAGTTGATGCCTTTCTTCCCCCGCGGCACATTCATGAGAGTGTCATAGAAAAACGAATTGAAGAAATATACTCTCTTGGCCACATCTTCGTTCGTTCGACTGAGGTGTTCCTGTAAAAAGCGGATGTAGAATTCAATGAGATTGTCGTTCAGGAACTCGTCATTTTTGCGAAGTCGGTCACGGTCTTGCATGTTGACCTCGGCCTTTTTCTTCCCGAATCGGGGGTAAACAAGGGGTCTAATGAAGAGTCAGAATCACCTCATGGTGACAGCAGATAATTACATACTTATGCCACTTTTTCACAGGTCCATCGGACTGTGACTGGGTTGACTGGTCTGCTTCATCGTCGTCATCACTTCAGGTAGTCAGTGGATCAGTTGCCTAAACAACAGGGACGGAGTAAGGCTCACCTCACGATGGTGGTGGTCGACGGAAGGCGACGTAACATGGCTCTAGTCTGACGATTGGACGCTGGAAGTGTCGGCGAAGTATGAATCTTTACGGGGATCTGCACACTCCAAGCGGAGGATAGTTTGGATGCACGAGGACTGACGTCCGGTGAAGACGGGGAGGACTTGGCTGCAGCTGCAGAATTGGAGGGGCCGGGAAGTTCCCGAGGGGCGGTGACTGTGGGGTTTCCTCTTTCGTCTTGCAGAGAGTCTGAGAGTCGCATTCTTTTGACCGGCAACGCGGAATTCTCAGTACCTCTCTGCGGACCTGCAGGCAACGGTCTCTTAAGTCCATAAGAGTGTTGTTTTAGTTCTCTATCGTGAGTGTGAAAGGCTTTCTCCAACCAGGCCCTTGATGCAGTTAGCATTTGGCGTGAGCCCATCCGAGAGGGTGACAGTATACATACTCGTCCTGCAGCAACGGCTCGATATTCCAACCCCGGAGACCATCGGAGAATCCTTCTTTTTCTTCGGCCGAAGAAAGCTCTAGGTCTAACTTCTGATCGAGCCCTTCCATCTTAGACAAGAAGAGTCTGATCTTGCCACTCGGAGGAACCCCCCCGATGGCCTTGGTGACTTTACTCAAAGGGAGCTCAAAGCATTCTGCCGGGTCCTTTTGGTTATGCAACAAGATAACCCCTCGCTCGAGGTCCATGCAAAGCTCAGCACCATTTCTTTGATCAGCATGCTGCTCAATAGACCCAAAGCGGGCATAGATGATCCCAAACGACTTTGTAGTGGAGGCTGCTTTATTAGTAGTGTACTTCTGCTTCTTCCCCTTCCATCCGCGCTTGGTTTTGGAAGGAGTAAAAACCGTGTGTTGGATATCGGCCGGTGACGATTGTCGGTGCTCTTTCCCCAGGGCTACCTGCTTATCATTCTCGCCCTTTCCCGCAACTGTCTTACTCCGGCGCACCTCGACCGTGACTTGCAACTCGTCCGGACTGTCCTGTGACTCGGATTGCTCTCTCATCCTCGCAGGCGAAGCCAGGCCGTTTTGACGAGGTGAACGAGCCAGTACACCTTTACCAGGATTGCGATTCTTGGATGGCGAAATCTCCACACCCCGGAACACCTCGTGCTTGGGCGCACGCTTCGAGCCGTCGATCCTGGAAAAGCCACCATCATCCGAGGAGGTTCGACGACGCCTCTCAGCCGCGGCATCCTCCGTGAAGCGTTCCTCGCGGGTATCGTCGGGCCGAGTAGTCAGGGCGGGATGTTTCTTGCCGTGCTTAGCATTGCCCTTCCTGTGCTGCTGCTGCTGCTGCTGCTGCTGCTGCTGCTGCTGCGGGGGTTTGACGTTCTTCTCGACACCGCGAAACTCTTCCAGGGCAAATAAGTTATTCCGCGTCTTCCTCAATCTGGCTGATCGGTGGCTCGAGGTGGGAGACATACGTGACGGGTGTGTGGTAGGGGGAGAGGTATCCAGCGCGGGGTGCGCATCGGTCTCCTTGTCGACGAGGCCGAGAATGCTTCCAGACCGTGACGGCTCCGGGGCGGCGCGATGACGGGGACGTTTGGTCGGCCTTTCATACGGGTGAGTCTCGTGGGGACGGATCTCCTTCTTGCTGGCACGGACTGGTCCACTTTGTCGGGCCTTGCCCGATATCCGATCCACGATCTTGAAAGGGGAGTCCTTCACGTCCAAGGAGACGAAAAAAGGTCAGCAGGGGTGATCTCAACTATGCGATCCAGAACGTCAAGGAGAAACAAACTCACCCCTATCTTTTTTCTCTTCGGCATGGTTTGTCCGGGGATTATGGGTACTCCATTGGGCTCATCTGATCTAGATCGCAAGCATGTATTAGCGCTGTATCAATCCACTCATTGAGCCTTGAGCCCGCGCGTACCGTAAGTTGCTGGGGAAGAGTCTTATCTCGTCTTCTAAAGTTGCTTGATTGTTGTAGTGGGGGCGAATGGGCTTGTCGTCGGGTCTGGTTGTATCTTGCGGCATTAGCCCGTTGTTCCGCATGTGCGGATATACCGAGAACATGTGCGGCTGCTTGTACTTACGAACGAACCATCCTCCTCCCCGGATAAGAGAAAAAAAATTGGGTCTTTGGTTGCTATAAAATCAAAACGTACGGTAGGAAGCCTTCTCAAGACTCAGATCCCGTTGAGAAAATCACAATGATGCAACGGACGTCTTAGTCCGTCAATTGGAGCGGAAAATCGCATCGGATAGCGGAGGGCAGTGTGGAGGAGGCAGACAAGAAAGCACAGCGCAGCACACCGTGTATGAGTTCCGGCTGGAAGGTGTGCAAGGCGGCGCGGGGGGACTAAAATAGAATGGGAATCTCAAGGAGCGGGACAACTTCCCAGCAATGGTCATTGCGCGACCGAACGGTTACAAAGAGCTTTCATAACTCTGTTTTAAAAAAAACTGCAGAGCCGCAGGACGAAGAGGGGAGTTTGAATTGACAGTGACAAGAGTCGCATCATAATGGGGGGAGAGAGGAAAGGCGGTGGGGAGGGGAAGGGAGGGAGTTTCTGCCCACCGCTTGGTGGAACTGCCAACTGGGGCACCGTTTTTTTTTTTTCTTGTCTTTTTTTTTCTTTCTTTTGCCCTTTCCCTCCTTTTTTTGTTCCTTAATTAGCCTGCTTCCCTCCCTTTATCTCCCCTAATCAACTCCCGCCGGAAGGATGCATTACTGCACCACGGGGCACGGAGCCACTGGCAGCATGGCACTATTATTCCGGTCATCCTGTGTGCACTAGACCAGACTAACCAGTAACTAACATTAACTCAACTTAGTTGAACGCATAAGTCATTCTCTACGCTAAACCGAGCTCCAAGGTACTATTTTCTGTAACTATACAAAGAATGCATCTCAGCCCTAAGTTTCATGTTTTAGCCTTGAAGGCTAGAATAACAACCCATTCAAACATTCCCCAAGAATAGTATACTGAACCAACAAACCCACCAGACCCTCAATCTATGACAGCTCACATCCACGTACTTGTACTTACTCGGTGAGTCGGTCCCCCGTCTGCCACTAACCCTAAACCGCTTGGATGCATGCATCCGAAGTGTTTTCGGGGGGGCGAGATCTATCTTATCGCAGATCTTGACCGGGCTCATGAAACCAACCCAGTTGTTGCGGATGCACTACCGAGAAATACGGTAGTTGTAGCATAGACTACATGATAAAATGCGTATTGAATAGACCGGTCTGTATCTTCTTGATTCGCTATAGCTTCGGCTCAAGAGGAGCAAGCAGCATATAGCACAGTGATCCTGGAAATATTTTGCGTCATAGCATGCAGGGCACAAGTGTGTAAATACTCGAATATATTCGTACGGAAGACTCAAATCATCAGTAATTCCAGTAGTTACTAACGCATATCTTCATCCCATCACATTTGACAACCATATCCCACAGTCCACAAAACCCATCCCAGATCATAACATCAGATGGCATAGCATAGCATAGCGTAGCGTAGCATCTCGCGTGACATTCGAAACTAGTGAGAATAGAAGAGAAACAATGCGACACCAACACCCTCCGGACAATAAAAAGGTAAGATAGAAAATCAGATCAGACGCAATGTTCGCCCCAAATGCCCCCGATCCCAATTCGTCCCAATGAGTTTTGCGTGGAAAGAAAAAAAAGGTTTCCTTTTTTTACTATACAGGACCCATATGACCCAGGCTGGCTGAAAAGAGAGAAATGAGAAAAGAGAGAGAAGAATAAAGCATGGCGATCAAGACAAAGCGGCCTTGCCCTTGTGGTCGGACTCCTCGCTAGCCGTCGTCGGGGCTCGTCGTCGATCTCCCCCCAGCAGCTGCTGCTGCTGCTGCTGATGGTGATGTTGTTGTTGGTTGTTATTGTGGTGATGGTGGTGATGGTGGTGCCCGGTGCTACCAGCGGCCTTATCCTGGCGAGCCTGATCGATCGCCGAGCGTTGAGCGATGCTGTCGTCGTGGCTCTTCCAGACGATGTTGGTGTCGGTGGGGAAGTTGAGTAGACGCTTGATAGTTTCGCTGCAGTCGATCGGGTTAGTCCAAGAACCTTGGGAATTTCGAAACGAACATACCGAATCTTAATGTTCCGTCCCCCATCAATCCGAGTCCAGACATTCAGCACATCCTCCCCACTGCGCACACTCAAGACAGCTCCGCAAACCTCGTCGCCCGCTTCCGCAAACTGATCCCCAACCATAGCCAGGAGCAGGTCCTCCCAGTACCGGTCCGCCACGCCTTTCTTCAACCGCACCACCCACTTGCCACCCTTCTTGTTGGCATCGTCCTCCCAGACAGGACGGATGCCCTTCTTAAAGATGTGGTAATCGGAGACGGTAGGAAGGAGAGATGGTCTCTTGAGGTGTGAGTAGACCGACCAGAAGCTCTCCACCGAGGATATCGCGGCGAGGGGGACGGTGGACTTTTCGTAATCGGAATACTTAGGGGTCGGCGGGCGGTACCAAATCACCCATGTGGACTTGAGCGGATGTTCTTTGATCGCGAATGCGGCCTTGGCTTTGGCGCTTTCCGCCGTCAATTCCTGGTCGACAGGGTTCTCCCGTTTCTCGAACCCAGGGGTCTTGACGTCGGAAGCTCCGGGAGTCTTGGGGGCTCCGAAAGACGCGAAGGCACCGGAGCCCAGACCGAATGCGGAGGAGGCGTTTGTCGAAGGAGAAGAGACGCCGCCTGATAGAGGCGACAGGGCGTTGAAAGGGTTGGATCGACCACCGTGGGAGCTATCTGGGCCAAACCGTTTCGAGGCGCGGGGAAGTTCAACTCTAGCGCCGTCCGACCCTGTCATCGACAGAGACAACTTGGAAGCGCTGCATGAGAACATACTGTTAGTTCTATTCAATTTTATCTCGACCTCGCCAAGCGGCCAAGGTAAATCATCAAGCGCGAACTCGTAACATACTTAGATCTGCGGGTCCAGAGGTTTGCGTTATCCATGGATGTACTGGCTACTGAGACAGCTCAGAAAAAAAACGAGCGGTCACCGGCAGAGGCAGACAGGATCGGGCGGGGGTGACGAAATAGTACAGAAGAATAGGAACCCGAGAACACGAAGAGGAGGATCGAACAATGAGGCCAGTATAGGCGGAGAAAGGTGTAGGCAGGGTTTAGAGATTAGGTTCAATTAGGTTCAAACTGGGGCGAACGGAGCGGCAAGAGGGGAAGAACTTTCGGTCCAAAAGAGAGAGGAGAAGAGAAGTCAAGGAAGAATAATCGTGATCGTGATCGTGAACGTGACGAATGAGAAAATGCGGGGGGGGGGGTGTGAGGGATGTGATCTGTAGGATTTAGTCTGTTGTATGAGGGAGTAGGAAGATCGGAGGCGAGGGAGGGGTTGGAGGAATAGTGTGGGAAGATCGGAGAAGTGGAAGTGGAAGTGGAAGTAGTAGTGGTGGTGGTGGTAGTGTTGGTGGAAGTGGAGTGGAAGAAATGCGGAATTGGGAATTAAACCTGCTGGAGAGGAAGAGAAAGAGAGTGGAAGGGAAGAGAGAGAGAGAGAGAGCAAAGGCAGAGATCGGAGTGAACAGTGAAGAACCAGAACAGCAGAGAACAACGACTGGAACAAGTCAGTTTTCTGCCGTCAAGCTTCTTCCTGAGCCTCCTAGCCAATCAACTCTCTGCCCCGCTGCTTTTCCGCCTCCGTGGTTTTTCCAGCTCCGTCCGTTGTCTCCGTCCATATAAATTCCTCGACTTCTTCCCGTTCCTTTCCTCTCCTTTTCTTTTTTTCTTTTCCATAACAAACCCAAGACCACCAACTCAAATCATCGCTGGTTGCACAATTGTTTGATTCTGTCGAATTATCTACTGCACTGGCGACTCCGATGAGTGTGTCGAGAACGAGCATCAAGACCCCGCATCTAAAACCATCATCACGAGGGCTCTTCTCAGGGCTCCATGATGCGGTGATGACCTGATTGACGGGACATTCCCTTTTTCTTTTTGCATCCAGACTGGAATTGTGGTGGATCCGGCAGGCAGTACTCGTAGTCCACTCTGCTCTATAATGCAAGGGCATCGTAGTTTTTTCACGGATTCGGTGCGTCCGTCACTTTTCCTTCTGCTCTCGGACCTTCGGGGTCTCTACCATGATGAAGCTCTTATATCACATACTCTGGTAATCCGAGGTGCTCAACCGCGTGAATTGGCCTGACTTGGCTATGCGCTGGTAGAGTGTGAGGTGAAAAGGCATTTCTGATTGTCGTAATAATCTTACGTCCCGAGCAATGCTTGATGCTTGCAACGTCATGCGGTCGCTTGGTTACTGACAAGGTCCGATCATAGGGCGGGAGCCGACTGTTTGATGCTTAGCAGTTGTTTGATGCTTAGCACCCTACAACACTCTACATAATTCTACACCTCTTGATCTATGTCTCGAATCGACAAGTACTCTGCCTTCGAATTTGAAATACTTGTTTGAATGTCTTCTTTAAATCAGGTGAACAATGCCATTCGCAAGGGGAATCGAGCAGCAACCGGTGATGACTGGACGAAACACAAAACTATAACACCCCCTCGAGTCATCTGAAACATGGATAACAAATGCATGCATGGTGTTCCAATCGTGTCCCACAAAATATGATAAAAGGAATTATAATGCTACCTTGGAATTACTGGACGAGTCAACTGGCCCAACCTCCGAATCGTCAGTAGGCCTGGAAGCTTGAAGGACATTCATAAGTACAAGAATATCGAAATCATGTCATCAGCAAAGGGTCAAAGTACTTCGTAGCTGTCCCAACCCAGCAAATCGTTAAATAGATGCAGCAACCTATTACTCGGCAGGCTGTGCGGAGTCTGACTGACGTTCGGAGCCAGCCTTGATGCGCTTGGCGTCCCTGTCACTTTGGGGTGCCAGAGGAGCCACCTTGCGCTTCTCTTTATCCCTCTGGTACTCTGCCCGGCGTTCTTTGTCCTTCTCTCTGCGGAGGGCCTTAGACTCAAACTCGTGCCAATCACCCTCAATGTTCTCGAGCCTAAAAACCATCAGTTAGGTTTCAATATTAAATCAAGCCGAGGCACGAAGACTTACTCGATAGCTTGCTGAGGCCGTGGCTCCTCCGTGGTGAAGTATGGGTGCGCCAATATCTGCCCAGTGGTGGGTCGTTTCGCAGGGTCATACTGGAAGACTTGAGATATAAGATCGAGAGCTGCTGGCGAGAGGATTTCGCCGTAGACCTCCTCAAAAATCCTCTTCTTCCGCTCCGTCGGGCGCATTAGCTCGAACCAAGGCATCTCAATCAAATCTGGCCATTCGGCGCGGTTCGGGGTGCCAAGGCAATTGTAGAGCTTGTCGAGTTGACTTATCTCCCCTCCCTCACCCGGGAAAACAGCCTTCTTCGTGAACATTTCAACATATACGCAAGCCGCACTCCAGACATCAACAGCGGGGCCGTACCGAGTCTCACCAAGTAGTAGCTCCGGTGGTCGGTACCAGATGGTGATGACACGGTTCGTATAATCTAGCTGGCGACTTTTGGAGAAGAATCGTGCTAAACCGAAATCGGCATACTTCAGCTGCCCTCGGTTGCTGATCAGGATGTTAGCAGCCTTGATATCACGGTGCATGACGCCTCGGTGGTGGAGATAATCTAAGCCTTCAAACATCTGCTTGGCGAGGTCCTTCTTGTGCGCTTCTGTTAGAGTGAAGGTCGGGTGGTTGATCAAACCAGTCAGGTCGTGCGAGAGGTATTCAAACACCATGAAACACTCATTTCTCTCCACCATGACTTCTAATAAGCTGACAACGTTGTTATTGCGAAGATGTTGAAGCAGCTTGATTTCTCGAACGGCGGTCACAGGGAAGCCATCCTTCTCACCCTCCATTCTGATCTTTTTGAGCGCAACTTTACGCTGGGTGTACACATGAATCGCCTTGAAAACCTTGCCGTAAGTGCCTGCACCAATGACCGATTCATTCCCTGGTTTTCGGTAGTATACAGAATCCGAATTTGCGAATTCCTCAGAAAGAACGGGGCGTGGTTTTATGCGGGTCATAATCTTGATTTGCTTTCTCGGCTCTGGAGAGCGCTCGGGACGGCGATCAGGGCGGAAATCCTGTCTCCGATCTCCTCGAGGTCTTTCGGTGCGAGGAGGATCGAATCGGCGGTCGTCCCGTCTACCCTCACGCATACTTCGGGGCTCTCGGGGCCCACGAGGTTCTCGCGTGTCGCGATAATTGCGGGAGTCCCGGAAGTCTCTTCTGTCATTTCGTGCACGGTCACGCTCTCGCTCACGCCGGTCACGTTCGCGTTCGCGGTCACGGTCACGGTCACGGTCACGGTCGCGGTCGCGGTCGCGGCGATCAAAGCGAGGCTCGGATTTGAACTTTGGCGGTGGGCCGACCGGCATCCTGTTGCGTGAAGGTGGCTCGGCGGCACGCTGAGGTGGCTCCCGAGCTAGCATCCTCTGAGCTAGGTCGGGAACCGGTTTGGGAGCTGGGGCAGGAGCAGTCTTGGCCTTGAAGGCGAAACTTATTTTGCCTCCCTTATTTGGTGTAGCAGAAGCAGCAGATGGTTGCATACCCGGGGGCGGATTTCTTTGAGAATCACCATTGTCGGGATCGGCTCTAGACCTGTCGATATTTGCTCGTGAATCCTGTCGTGAACGTCCATATTGATCACTATCTTCTTTGGAACCTGATCTTGCCCGATCACCCGCTGGCGGAGGTGAGGGACTGTGTGACGGCCCATACGGTTCGTTAGGGTTTGACGGGTCCGCTTGACCCCGCGAACTCGGTGTATTCCAGTGAGATTTGTTGAAATTACCTCTTTCCCGAGGAGAAGGCCCACCTATGTTGCCATGATGGTTCCCCCGATATCCCGAGTTCTCATCGCGGTAAGTTGGTCCTGGAGATGGTGATGGACCACGATTGTGTGAAGAATGGTGTGGTTGCTGATACTGATTCGGCGAGTCCCCCGTGGCGTAATTACCTTGCCGTTGTGGTGAAGAGCGGCTGATTAGACACCGTAGTTAGATTTGCCTTGTAGAGAAGAAAATCTCAAAAGCCGACTTACACGTGGGAATCCTGGTACGATGATTGTTGTCCGGGCCAGTCACTCCGGTCCTTCGAGTAAGGGGATGTGGACTCAGCATGGGGTTTGGGAGATGCCGTATGATGTGATGATCTTGAGACATGGGAACCATCTCCTGATGGCCGAAAATTTCTCGGATGCTGGTCATTAGAAGCATCAGACACACGTCTTCCCCGAGTTGTGTTACGCGTGGCTTCTCCCTTGGATATTTCCCCGGCGGGATTACTATCAAAAACTGACGGCTCTGGGCGAGGAGAGGAAGACTTGCGTGAATCGCCTCCCGAAGGTCGAGTCGATCTCGTCGAATCCATCATGGGCACACCTATTGAGTTCCGACGTGAGTCTCCGGAGTATCTCGAAGCCACAGATTGAGCAGAATGACGGGATAGTGAGCGGTAGCGGCGTTCGCCCTGGGGCTCGTCTTCGAAGGACGGGCTGTGTGGGCGTCGAGAAGGATGAGAGTATGGCTTTCCTCCGCGGACTGGCGACCTCGAGCGCCTCGAGTGTGGGGACACAGGGCGGCCTCCTCCGGCCTTGCGGCGTTCCCTTCCTCGTCGTGACCCGGGAGAAGGCCTCCGACCACCTCTACTGCGTCCTGAAAAACGGCCTCGCCTGTTCGGTGGATATCCACGGTCCAGTTCGTCGTTGGGGTTGAAGGAAGGTCGACGATGTCCTGGCCGGTTGGAGTGTGAATGAAACCCACCGGGGGACGGGCTCCGTGTCCTCTTACGTTTCGAAGGTGGTGGTGCAGATGGAGAGTCGTTTCGTCGAAGGCCTTTGCCGGCAGGTCTATCCGTGTCTACCGACCGGTACGTTTGCGAATCAGGACGAGTCGCGGGGTTGGGTGATCGGTGACGAGCTGACTTCTGGCTAGGGTAGGTGTCAGGGGGCGGAAGACCGGATGAGCCACGACGAGAGATAGGAGGTGAAAACTCGCGGTGCGGACGTGAATCGTCGTAAGAAAGATGGGAACGCGGAGGCGGCGACCGTAGCGAATAATCAGGTCTGCCCTCCTTAGGGCGGCGGCGAGGCTCCCG